AGACCCTAGAGAGCAACGCCGCCGGAGGCGCTGCTGCATCCAAGCCGGAGCAAGGCAGCAAGCTCGAAGGCACCTCGGTCGAAAAAAGGCATGCGCAGCGTAGAGGCATCACAGAACATCAACAAGTATGAGAACGTAGCCTACACCGGGGGGTCTTGGACCACGCGCAGTCAGCGCACTGATCCGGAAGAAGCGCAGCAGCGTCGCTGGTAAAACGATGCAATCTGTTGGACATCAACGTGGACTTCAATTTAGCGCGGCCACGCCAGCCCCTGAAATTGCGAGAAGAGGAGGGCTCTGCGTGCGGCCTACTTCTCCATGGGTGAGTTCTGGTCCACTTAGTGCATCACACCTGGGGCTGAGAGATGCATCTTCAGAGGTATCCGTGCCAGTGCCGCGCTCCAGCGGACTAGAGGTAGTCGTCGAGGGCGCGGGGTCGCCCACCTGCGGCGATCTGGCCACGCCGGAGCCCTTCATCGCGCGCAAAGGACGCGCGATATTTGGAGGCGCAGCTGAATGGGATGCATCGTCCGAGCACATTGTCAACCTGGAAGTCTTGAGAAAGTTTCGCGTTGCGCCACTGTTTTCGAAGTCAGAACCAGATGATTACGATGGTTGCAGAGCGTTGTCAGGGATCGCGACAACAATCGACAGTTTTTGGCTTCCTGCTTCGGGGGTCCTCCGATCTGTGGCGATATTGTTACCGAGAGTGGAGCTGTGCGCGCTCGCGCTCATCCGTGGGTGCGCCAGCTAAGGGCAAGACGTCCTCGCGCTCCGTGGCACTCAAAGTGGAAGTAGTATGCGAGCCATGGGTGGCGGTCTATCTAGCCCATGATTCGAGGATCTCGAGGATTTCAGTGGAGTCAGGTTTCTTGCTTCCAGGACCCCATGCCCCAGATGGACGACAGGATAATGGAGCAGAGCTCGCGCGTCAGGAGTCACTGGGGGACGGTAAGTAGAGATGTGACAGCAGACGGCCTTCAATCGAGCACGCCCCAAGGAAAAGCGTCGCCAACGCGGTCGGGGGCGCGCGCGGCACCTTTAACATCGCGCGTGTCTTGACCATCACCAACAGCTCCTGCCCCATCTGTCATAGCACGCCTCGAGACAAAGATGTAGCTGGACACCCTGTGAATGCAAGCCTGCGCAGACTGTGTTCAGCGAATCGTGGGCGATTCGAGGGCAACGTTCTCGCGTCGGATTTGGCGGCGCGTTCGATCTGCGAGGAATCGTTTGATGACCTCCTGCTTTGGCCCAGTCATGCTCTTGATTGCTTGGCGTTGCTGCTGTCGTCTGACTTCTACGTGCGCGGTGCACGCGGCAAGTTAGTCGCTGGGTCCCGGGCGGCATGCGCAGCGGATTGGGCCGCGCGGCCGCGCGGATCGAAACGTGGCTGGCGATGGGGGGGGGGGGGGGGGGGGGGGCAGACGGAGAGGAAGCCAGAGGGTCTTTCGGTTTGAGATCGGCCCCATAGCTTCTCGGCAGGTGCCTCGAAGACCCAGGCGGCCGAGATCGACGCAGGCGCGGAGACCGACGGCGACGGGCCAATCAGGACATCATCAGCGCCATGAGGGCGTTGATCGCGCATCTGGGAGCGAAAGTCCGATTCCTCGAACACGAGCCGATGCTCGCGGCCGTCGCTGGCCGCAGGCGCCAGATAGTCGCCGACGGAAGCGAGAGCTACCAGGAGCTGGTGAAGGCACGCAAGGCGGACCCAGAGACGGACATATGCTCACCCGCCCCCCGATATCCTGCAGCGCACCCATCGCCTTGAAAGGCCGGCAATTCAAGGACACCTCGGCCAAACGCTCCAGGAGGAGGTGCGTCATCGAGCTGCGCGTCGCCATGATCAAAGCAGCAGGCCCAGAGACCGCAACCACGTCGATCAAGGAATCAACCGTCTTCCCGACGCGCGACAAACCAGGGCTGCTCCAGAAGAGCAGATTCAGATCCAAGTTTCTCGGACAGGTGCTGGTACCCGACAAAGGAGGCCATCGACCGGAAATCAACGCGCTTCGCGCATCCTCACCAGCCCATTCAGAAGCCTTGCCTCCTGAGGGCTGACAGGAAATTGAGAGAAGAAGCGCGTGCAGTGAAACTGCTGCTGCTGTAGCTGCTGGTCCTGATGTTGCTGGTGCGGCTGCTCGTACGGGCACTGGTGCTGCTTCTGTTGGTGCAACTGCTGCTGGCGCTGCTGGTGCTGGCGATCCCTCGGGTTCCCCTCGGGGATGTCTTGAGGCTTCTCTAGGGTGTGTATTGGTGGGGTCATCCTGGGGCTCTTTTGTTGAGTTTTGGAGGCCCCCCGGGGCTCTCTGGGGGCCCTCTTGGGGCCCTCTCGGGAAACCTGGAGGGCCATGGGGTCACCTAGGAGGCAATCGATCCAAGGAGGGGGGTGGGGTCCCAACGCAGGCCCCCCCCTTCGGAGCCCTCGAGCCGCCTCTTGGGACCCCCATTGGGGCGCCCCTTGGCGCTCTGGAGGCCGTCTTGGAGCCCTCTTGGGACTATAGTGGAGCTCTCGTGAGGCCCTTTTGGGGTCCTCGGAAGGCCTCTTGAAACCATCTTGGAGGCCGTCGACCCAAGGAGGTGCCTCCCTTTATGTTGCCCCCCCCCCCCCCCCCCATGGGGCCTTCAAATCCGCCTCCTGGGGCGATCTTAGAGTCCTCTTGGCGCGCTCTCGGGCGCTCCTTGGGGCCGTCGTGGGGGCCCTTCGAGTCCCCTTCGGGGCTCTCTTGGGCCATCTTGGGGCCGTCTTGCGGCCCCGACAGCGCGTCGGAAGCGGGGCGGCAGACGGCGAACATCGCGAATTCCCATTATGTTTTTGACGCGGGTTGGCTCCTTGGGAAAGTCCACAACGGCTTCCGAGAGCACTTTGAACCGTATTGTGGTTCCCCTGAGGCCTTTTGGAGGCATGGTGGAGGGCATCTCGGGCGATCTTGCACTATCTCGGGGCATCTTGGAGGTCATATTGGAGCATCGGAGGCCCGTTTGGAACCATCTTGGGCGCCCTAACTCCCCGCGGAGTCTCCAAAACAAGCCCGGGGAAGGGAGGGGGCCCGAAGGGAAGGGCTCCTGTGGAATAGGGAAGGGCGATATCGGTAGACCACCTACGCCCAGAGGGCTGGCGGGACTACTGGCGGCGATTCAGCAGGAGGATCACGCTTTGCACATCGAGAGCCCCATCGAGATGCCCGCGGCGCTCCTGCAGGTCACAGGCGCCATCGTCAAGGTCGAGGCCGTGGTCGGGGAACAGATCAGGCACAGCGGAGGCAAGCTGACCATGAGCAAAGATCCATGTGGCAACCTGGCTAGGGAGCTCATGCCCAGGAGACGCTGTATGCATATTTTGCGCAGCGAGAAAAGCCCACCTGTAACAGGCGACGCGCCCGTGCCACCCGCGACGCTTCGTGGTGGATGAGTTACGCCGTGAAGTCAAGCATGGCAGGCTACATGATCAGCTACGTGGGTGGATTGTCTATGCGAGATGCAGGCAGCTTGCCTTCTCCGCTCCTCGTCGCCTCCGCCTGCGCGTGCCCCTGGCCTGGTTCCTGGCCTGATCTCGGGGGCAGCTCGGACGATGTGGATTGCGGAGTTGTTTTCCTGACCACCTGCGGCCATGCTCTTTGCTTTCCGTATTTCGAGTGATGTGGATGCGAGGGTTGAGGGCATGTGAGAAGCGTTCTCTCCTCCTCTTCCGATCTCGAGCCCCATCCCTTCGGCCAAGAGGTGAACGACCAGGCTCCCGTGCAGCGGCCCCTTTGTTGCGCGGTCATCTGCCACTCTCGCGAGCGCACGGTGCCCCCAGCGGAACTGCGAAGTAGAGGGTGACACGTAACAAGTCGTTTTACCTCCCCATGGTTCACGAACACGCCGAGTGATCGGAGAGTTTGAGCTGAATGGGTGAGAGCGAGCTCCTCCTCCTCCTTTTCCTCCTCCTCCTCCTCCCTCTCCTCCTCCTCCTCCTCCTCTTCCTCCTCCTCCTCCTCCTCATCCTCCTCCTCCTCCTCCTCCTCCTCCTCCTCCTCCTCCCCTCCTCTCCTTCCTCCTCCTCCTCTCTCCTCTCCTCCTCCTCCTCATCCTCCCCTCCTCCTCCTCCTCGTTTTCCTCCTCCTCGTCGTCGTTTTCCGCCTCCGATTCCTACTCCTCCCCTCCCCTCCTCCTCCTCCTCCTCCTCCTCCTCCTCCTCCTCCTCCTCCTCCACCTCCCCTTCCACGTCTTGGAGACCGACCAACCATTCATGACCGACAACGTGCCTGAAACTGTGGCCGAAACAGCGCAGCTTGACACAACTTCGACTACCCGTAAGATTGGCCCTTCGCGGGAGTGATTTTTGATGCGGGCCCATTGGGCTCTACCCGATGGCCAAGCGCGATGCGATGGCAACGTCGTGCGCGTTCGGGGTTGCCCCCCCCTGCGGCTTCCAAAAGCCGCGCACCAAAAATCACTTTTACCCAGGGCCACTCTTGCGTGTAGTCGATAATTTGTGGTCGAATTCGGAAGTCGTGCTGGCCTCGAGCCAAGAGCTTCGGTCAAACCTGTGGCGCGTTCGGGGGACTTCGGGCACAGGCGTCGGTCACATAGGCGGATGTTCAGGCACAGTTTCAGTCACTACACCCCCCGGCAGAAACAAGGTCGCGTGACACACTTCCCCCTCCCCTTTGGTAGCAAATCATGGAAGCCCTGTGTACACCCGCAGTTCTGTGTTTAGAGCGCACTGGCGTCGCTCAGCGTCTGGCAATCGATGAGGCAGTGCCAACTGAGCGTCGACGAGCGTCGATTTGGCGTCGAGCAGCGTCGACTGGCGTGGACCAGCGTCGATCCACGAGAGCCGACAAGAGGGTCTGGGAGGCCCCCATGGGTCGCCACCGATCTCTCCTCCTCCTCCTCCTCCTCCTCCTCCTCCTCCTCCTCCTCCTCCTCCTCCTCCTCCTCGTGGTTTTCCTCCTCCTCCTCCTCGTCCTGTTCCGCCTCCGATTCCTCCTCCTCCTCCTCCCGCGGCAGAGGTGGGGCGCAGCGGCGGGGATTCCGTCCCCAGCATGGAGGAGGTGGAGCCGCGGCCGCTGGAGGCGCCGGGCTCCTGCCGCGGCGCTCCGCCGCAGCAGTGCTCGCCGGTGCCGCCCGCCCCCCGCCGCGCCGCGCCCCCCCACTTCTACAATTAACCCGTATCGACTAGACGTAAAAGTGACCTTTCGCCGGAGTGACCTTTGGTGCGGGCACGGATGGGTACCCAGATGGCTGAAAACGAAGCAGTAGCAGTTGCCTGCGCACCCAGGTTTGGTCCCCCCGCGGCCCCCAAAAAGTCGCGCACCAAAGGTCACTCTTACCCAGGGTCACTCTTGCGTATAGCCGACCGTATCATACTGATGCGCGGTAAGTGCGGATTCAATTCCTTGGGAGGTCAAATTCTGATGTTGCCCTGGTCCGAAATCGGATTGAATCCGGCTTGATCCCGTTGAATCTGGCTGAATCCCGTTTAAACTGGCTTCATCTGGCTTTTTCCTGCTTAATTCGAGGCCCGTATCATACTGATGCGTGGTAAGTTCGGATTCAATTCTTGGGAGGTCAAATTCTGGTTTTGCCCTGGTCCGAACTCGGGTTGAATCCGGCTTCATCCCGTTGAATCTGGCTTAATCCCGTTTAAACCGGCTTCCTCTGGCTTGCTCCTGCTTCATTCGAGGCCCAATTTGGCGTAACAGCCTCCCAATAGGGCTAAATCCTCATTAACCTTTCCGACGAATGCCCCCCAGTAGTTGCCTCCTAAGGTAAGGACGCAAGTGCCGCGGAGGCACATGTGAAAGCGGCGAAATTGGCCAAGGATAGACCGAGGAGGCAAAGATGCAAGGGCAGCTTGGGAAGTGTGCCCATCCTTCCTATGCGGGCCGATTCTAGGCCTCCTAGATGAGGCCAGGGTAGATGGGGTCGGAGGATCGCGCCGCATCGCCGATGCGTCGCCGATGCGGCCCGATGTGGAGCCTGCTGCGCTTCACGTCGACGTCGCGAATGCATCGCCCACGTCGACGATGCATCGCCGGTTCATCGCCGATGCATCGCCGGGGCATCGCTGGTGCAATTTGACGCATCGCCAATGCGTCGCCGATGCATCGCTGATGTATCGACGATGCGGTGCGATCTTTCGACCCCATTCATTCGGACCCCATCTAGGAGGCCTCTACCCCTTTAGACGACCGGATACCAGACCTGTCCAGTCGCGGTCGGCAGCGCGACCAATGGGCACTCCGACAGGGCCGCGGCCGAAGTTTGGAGCAGGTCGGCCGCGTCCGCTGCCGGAGTGTGGAACAACATCAGCAGCGGCCGCTCTCGTGTCGGCCACGCGCAGAGGGTGGTAGGGGGCGGGGGGGGAAGGCTTCTTAGCAGCACGACTGATTCTTGGAGGGCGCGGGCCTCGTCTGCAGATGTGATGCCGGCGCCTTCTAAGGAGCAGCCTCCTTCTGAGAAGCCTTCCCCCCTTCCCCCTATATCAGGAAGGGGAAAACACACAGAACACAAGCATTCGTCGGCTCCCAGGAAATCCAGGAAAATATGAGAAGTGGGGAGAAGACGAAACCCGTGAAGATATTGGAAAACATGGGGAATCCTGTGATTCGTGTCTATTTCTTTGCGTGTCCCTGGGCCCCTTTTTACCCTGCCCCCTTCTGCGCGCCGCCAGTCCTCGGTCCTGGCCAGGAAGATGTCGGGCATCCCGTGTCGGGGCACGCCCTGCGTCGCCGCACGGGGGGGGGGGGGGGCGCCGCGTTCTCTCGCCGTCTTTTTTCGTGCGCCACCGCTCGCCCGCCTCCTCTCTCGCGCGGGTGCCGCGGGAGGCGGGGGCCAGGAGTGGGGGCCAGGGGGGAGGGGGGCGGGGGGGGAGGGGCGGCCAAGAGGGGGGCCCATGACTGGGGGGGGGCGGTGCCCAGACCTCCTCGCGCTGCGAAACAAATCGCGACGGGAGGTTTTTCGCTATTTTCTGCCGCTGGGGGCCCTCGCCGGGCCTCGGGACCGTCGAAAAACGACTCAGGACGAAAAACCTGTTCAAGGGAAGGAGTCCAGACATCTGTGGGTTGACGTTGTGGAGAAATCACGACGTCGGGGGTCTGGGTAGCTTGGCCAGGGCCATAACGTATCCCCAGGTTTCAGGGCGCGCCTCCTCACTTCAATGATTGCGGTGGGGGCGTTCGCTAAAGAGTGCCCAGGAGACTTGAGACCCTGGAGGAGTCCTCTGGGAATCCATGAGGGCGGCGGTGGTATCCATGGCCGATCCACGATTGGAGTTCCTCCGGGACACCTGGTCTTGCGGCTTCGGTCGATCGTTTTGTCCCGGCTCTTCTTGGCTTTCGTTTTTTGTTTACAAATTATCGAGTAAATTGCCTATGGCAGGTCGGCTCGTACAGCGATCCGAGTTTACCTGGCGATCTTCTGCTTCACGTTACTGCGCCAGTCACGCCGTAGTGAGTTTCAGTGGTCTCGCGCTTCCCATCTCCCTTCCTCCCGAACCGACAACAAAAAACGATTGGAGTTCCTCCGGCTCCCAGACCCTGGAGTTCTTCTCTAAGGCTTCCTTGTCCAATGCCCCCACCCTGCGCTCCCATGGTCCCTTCCCCTTGGCGGCGGACTTGCCTCGGGCCGTGGTTTGCGAAGCCCCCCTGCCGGACGACCCCCCCCCCCCCCGAGGGACGCGCCCGACCGCCCCGCCGCGCCACGTCGCCGCCTCGTCCGCTCCTCTCGCGGGCCCCGCGGGAGGGCAGGCGGAGGCGGAGCGGAGGCGCGGGGGGGGGGGGGCGGAGGGAGGGGCGGACCGGACGTGGAGGAGAAGGGAGCGATCGGGCGCTGCGCAGTGGGGGGGGCGGCAATTGGGGGGGGGGACCGCCGGCGGCAGCTGCGGCAGGGGGCGGAGGGGGAGGGGAGGACTGGACGTGGAGGAGAGGGTAACGGTCGGGCGTTGCGCAATGGGGGGGCGAGAAATGGGAGGGGAAGGAGCACCTTTTGTGCCCTAAAGGGGCCCTGAAGAGGTCCTCTGGGGCCCAACAGCGGCACGAAAAGTGAACATTTCGACGCCACCCCTCCCCCATGTATCGACCCCCCTAATTATTGTGCAACGCCCGATCCGATACCGCTACCCCTCCCTCGTGTTCGCCTTTCTTGGCATCCAGCTACCCTTCCCTGGTGTTCGGCTTTTTGGAGGGCCTCCAGGAAGGCACTCGCCATCACAGCTGGATTCGCTTCGAAAATCTGGTCAGGACGCACCCCGGCAGAGGTACGGGGAGCAGCTATCTCGGTATCTGTTGGTTGCCTTGCCCAGGAAGAGGGGCGGGGGAGCGGGGGAGTGAAGGGCAGCACCAGCACGTCGACCACAGAGGAGTAGGCTGAGGAGGAGGAGGAGGAGGGTGATGATGATGATGATGATGATGATGATGATGATGATGATGATGATTATGATTATGATGATGATGATGGTGATGGTGATGGTGATGGTGATGGTGATGGTGATGGTGGTGGTGGTGCTGATCATGATGGTGAGGAGGATGAGAATGAGGATGAGGACGAGAACGAGGATGAGGACGAGGATGAGGATGATGACAAGTATGAGGATGATGACGAGGATGAGGATGATGAGGAGGATGATGGTGATGGCGATGATGATGGTGATGGTGGTGATTATCATGAGCATTATGATCATGATGATCATGATGATGGTTGGTGGGGGTGTTGGTGGTGGTTGTGGTGGTGGTGATAATCACGATGATGATGGTGATGATGATGATGATGATGATGCTGATGGTGATGGTGGTGATGATGAGGATACATTTGACGATTATGATAATGATGTTACTGATTCTGATGCTGATGCTGTGCTGGTGCTGATGCTGATGCTGAGAATGACGATGGCGATGGCGATGGCGATGATGCTGCTGCTGATGATGATAGCGACGACGACCAGGGTGATTGTGACGATGGTCGTAATGGTGATGATGATATTGTTGAGGCTGGTGAGGATGATGATGATGGTGATGATGGTGTTGATGATGAGGATGATGATGATGGTGTTGATGGTAATGATAACGATGATGATGCTGACGACGCTGCTGATGATGGTGATGACAGTGATGGTGATATTGATAATGGCGGTAATGGTGACGGTGGTTGTCATGATGATGTTGATGATGATGGTTATGGTGATGGTGATTGTGATGCAGGTGATAATGTGGATGCTGACGCCGATGCTGAGGCTGCTGCTGGTGATGGTGATGACGATGTTGATGATTATGGTGATGTTGATGATGATGCTGATGATGATGATGACGATGTCTACGACTATGACTATGACCACGGTGGTGTGTGGTGGTGGTGGTGGCAATGGTGATTGTGATGATGCTGCCAACTGTGATGGTGATGACGATGGTGATGGACTTGATGGTGGCGACGATGGTGGTGGTGGTGATGGGGCTGAGGGGGATTGTGATTATGATGGTGGGCATTTTGATGGTGATGGCGATGCTGATAATGACGATGATGATCATGATGATGCTGATTATGATGATGATGATGATGATGATGATGATGATGATGATGATGATGCTGATGATGATGATGATGATGATGATGATGATTATGGTAATGACGATGATGATTATGACGGTGCTGATGATGATGACGATGATGATAGTTATGTTCATGATGCTGATTATGATGATGATGATGATGATGCTGATGCTGATGGTGGCGGTGGTGATGCTGATGGTGATGGCCATGATGATGAGGTGTAGGGGGTGGGGTAGGGCCTGGCGGAGACATTGCAGGTTGTGTCTGGGCCTCGTTGGTGATATGTGTTCGTTTGTTCCATACTCCTCTCCTTGCGAATTGATTGCTCCCTTCTTCTGTTTGCGCTTCCGTCTTTTTGTGTTTTTGTGTGCCTCCCTTGGCGCGCGCACGGGCTTGCAAACACCGTCAATCAACGCGAGCGAACCCGAGAGAAGGACGATGCACACCACAGGAGTGACCGATGATCGTTCCCTGCACCTTACGTGCTTCCATCATCGCAACGCCCAGGTGAAGCTCAGTGAGCACTCCGCATTTGACCTCGAGATGACAGATTGGTCGGACGGTGAGCAGGACGCAGATCTGGACAGCTTCGAGACAGGCGCCTGCAAGTTGCATAGTGTGCCATTCCTCCCGCTCCTCCTGCTCCTCCTCGGCGTCGTCGTCCTTCTCTTCCTCTGCATCCTCCGCACCCTCGTCTCCATAGCCGTGCTTGCGCGAGCTTGCGCGAGCTGCGAGAGCTCGATGCAGGCCCGCGCGGCCTCCCTTTTGATTCGATGCCGAGGAGGAGGAGGAGGAGGAGGAGGAGGAGGAGGAGGAGGAGGACGGGGGGGGGATGATGATGATGATGATATGATGATAATGATGATGATGAGGAGGAGGAGGAGGAGAAGGAGGAGGAGGAGGAGGAGTGGCCCTGCTCTGGCCCACCTAGGCACATTTGTGGCGAAGGACAGCAGACGTAAGACCTCAAGCCTGTTCCGGCCCAGAAGCCGTGCTGCTCACAGTGCTGACACGGCACATCGGATGCAGCGCAACGTCCGTTCGCAGCGCGTGTTGCAGGCCCTTCAGTGTTCCGCCTGGTGAGCGCAAGGACAAACGACTTGCTTAGGTGTCAAGGGCAGGCATCTAGCCTGAATGTTTGAGTAGAGGAGCGTTTACGTAATACGCAGGATTGCACGTGGCACGAAACGTGAGGAGTTTGCCCCCCGTGGTTGCCGCCCTGACAGCGGGATGACTTGTCTTCCTTCCAAGCGCCAGGGAGGACCACCGCGAAGGCGGTCGACCTGTCAAACCCCAGGAGCGCATCGACAGGACCGAAGAGCTTGCGGAAATGATACACGATACAGATACACACTAATGATGATGAGGCCATCCAGCAGCAGCAGGATGAACGAGAGAGGCCACACAGAGTCGACCACATTGGGAGCACCATGGCGTAGTAGCCTGGCAGCCACGTTGGCCAGTTCGATCAGCAGAAGCAGCACGGCGTGGCGAGTGGCATCGCTGGTGGCTACACATGCGACTCGAAATATGAGAATGTGCCACGCGCGGCGCGAATCAGAAGGCGGGCCGCTGAGCCGCTGAGCACGCACAGGCAGACATGAGGCCGAAGTGATGCCAGGCGCATTGGTAAGTCGGTGGGCTGATCGCTGCGCGTGCGGCGGCGGCGCGTGGAGGACCAGTCCGTGACCTTGAGATCCAGCGTTGCGCAAAAACCTGCAATATCGCAAACATCATGATCAGGGTCCTAGACCAACTCTTCCTGCGGCATTCTTCGAGCGATCGATGTGTGACGGCCCCATGGCCCCCATCGACTGCACGTAAGAGTACAGTCAAAAACCCTAGTGAGGACGCGCGACTTTGCTCAGGGTACCCTTGCGTTATTGCTCTTCCTTGCTCTTCCTTGCTCTTGCGGCTCGTCCTTTGCCTCTTTCGCTTGCCCGCTTGTCAGGGTACCCTTGGGGTTTTCGTCGTCCGCCGCCCCAAAAAATCCCAACTTCGGCTCCCAAGGGTCTTGCGTCCTTACCGCGCGTCCTTAATTAGGGTTTTTGACTGTCAGAGCCAGCCGTCGCCGGCGTGACCTTTGGGGGTGCGGGCTCCAAAGGGTCCCCCCAAAGCACCAGCCGGCACGCTTCGATGTGGCCCACCTCGTGGCCCCCGAGGGCCGCGCACCAGAAGCCACTCTCTTGCACGGGGTCGCTCTCTCGCGCAGCCTCGAGCCGGGCATGTCTCCACAGGGGGAATAGTCAAAGATAGGCAGAAAATAGTCAGGGCATGATTTTCGACTATATTGGATTATCTTGGATATTTGTTGGCTACTCCGCATTTTCCTTCCAAAGTCCGCCTGTAGAAGGACATGCCCGACCTGAACGTAGCCTACCGAAGCTCCTCGAAACGCCCGGTGCGAAAAGTTGCAACGCACGGATCTCAGGGGGGGTCGTTGGGTAATCGGGTCCTCTGCCTCTCGGGGCCGTGCGGGCGAGAGGTGGCGACGCCGTGTCGGGTGGGTGCGCGGTCTCGCAGCCTGGAGGGTGGGCCGGGAGTAGTCAGAAGACTTCCTCCCTTCCTCGTCCTCTTCCTCCCTCAGCCTCCTCTTCCTCCTGCTCATCCTCCTGCTCATTCGCCACCTCCTCCTCCTCTCCTCCTCCTCTTCCTGGGTGCACAGTTTCCCCTTGTGTGGTTGTGCATGGCACGATGGGATCCTCTTGGGAGTTGCACGGAGGTTTGCCATGACACCCGTCGGTGGATAAAGAAAGCATCAACGCAGTAGGAAGGGATTGGTGGGAGGGACAGGATGCTAGATAGGGCGCGAGCTCGCCTAGCTTGCCTCTTCCCCCTCTCCCCTCCCCTCCCCTCCCTCTCTCCAATCCCTTCCTCCCTTCCTGGATGTGTTTCAAGGGGTTCTTTGGTCGTCTTCCAGTTTCGCGCGTCGTCGTCGTCGTCGCCCGTGTCGCCCACCACAAAGTATGTTAAGGCGCCCTTGCGGGCCAATAATGTCCAGTTCGCATAATTAAGCCTTGTCTTACCAGACAGCCTCCCCGCATTTGCCTATGCGTTCCTAGCGACGTGTCCGTCGCCGCCGCTGCGGCCGCGCTGGCGTCTGGTAAGGACTCGGATGTCGTCGGCGATCTCACCAGGACGTCTTGCAGGCGAGCTGCTGGTGCCGTGCAGCCAGCGCCACAGAGCAGAGCTGACAGCCCTCGGCGATGCGACGGTCCTCCTCGAGCTTGTTTTCTATTCCGGTGAGCCCTTAACGTCCGTCACGGGGGGCCCCCCCCCCCTGCCCGTAACTGTCTCGGACCTGCGCGCGGGGGGGGGGTCCCGCACGGACATGGCGCGGGCCTCACAGGCGTGCCGTGGTACTGGCAGGCTTGCGTTGGTGCTCACGGGCATGCGGTGGCGCTCGCAGGCCCGCCCCCCGCCCCCTTTCCCCCCCCGGTAGTGGACGGCACGTGGGGGGAACAGAACAAAAACAATCTCTTCCTTGTCGTCGCCGTCGTCGTTGTCGTCCAGCAGGAGGAAGAGGGGCACGCTGTGGCACAGGCAGTTCGGCTGCGACGCGGCGGAAGCCTACTGGAGGTATGTGTGCCCGGAGGTGGTGCTCCAAGCGGCGAGGCGGGCCTTAGAGCAAGGAGAGAGGCAGGGGAGAGGTTCGCCGGGGCCGCTTCCCTGAGGTGACGCAGGCCTGGATGCTGCCACACGAGAGGCCCGAGAAGGACGAGGTGATTTGGATCAAGGAGCCGCCTGACGGAGTCTTCAGAGGAAGGGTGTTTGTGGACGGCTCGGCGTCGGACCCTATGGAGGAGAGCCTGAGGAGGGCTGGCTGGGCGGTCGTGCAGTACTCAGAGGGCGGCCAGGTGATAGGAGCAGTGTGTGATACGGTGCCGCTAGCGTGGGCGCCGATGCAGAAGGCCAGGGACGGCGAGGACTACGCGTTCCACTTCCTGTCAGGCTGTGCCCATAAGAGCGCGGGAGGCGAGCAGGGGCTGGCCTGCCGAAGGTGCGGGGCCAACGGCTCGCAGGACCACCTCCTGCAGACCACGAGGAGGAGGAGGAGGAGGAGGAGGAGGAGGCGCAAGCTCCTCTTCCAGGTGTGTAGAGGCGAAGGACGTGGCTGTAAGGAGCAGCAGAGGAGGCAGATAAAGGCCTGCACCCTCTCCCCCCGAAGAGGGACTGCAGGTGCGAGTACGCCGAAGGCGTATGAGCGAAGCTGAGGAGTGAGCTCGAGGAGGCAGCGGGCGAGCAGCTGCCAGCGAGGGCAGAGAGCTGCTGGCGCGACGCGCCAGAAGGAGGACGGCCCCAGAGGCTACGGCGGCGTCCTGCGGGGTCGACGAGGGCGGCTTGCCGGCCCTGGGCAGGAGAGCCAGGGCAGCCAGGGCCGAGGAGGCGATCGGGGCCCGAGGAGGGCGAGGTGTCAGGGCGGCGCGCTGAGGGGAGCGGGCGGCCACAAGGAGCAGCAGTGCGACGGCGCAGTGCTGCGACCCACAGCAGGCGCGGAGGGCGCGCGACCTGGGGGCGGCGAGGAGGAGGGAGGCCTGCCGCTCGGCGGGCCACGGCGGGAGTGGCGAGCCTGCCGAAGGGAGGAGCTGAGCGGCGAGCGCGGCCTGGCGCGCGCGCGGCCCAGCGTGGGTTGCGGACGGACGCCGCCCCCACGCCGCGCCAGAGAGCGTCAGGGAGCGTCGGTGTCGTCCTCCTCCTCCTCCTCCTCCTTCTCCTCCTCTGTCCTCCTCCTCTCTCCTCCTCTCTCCTCCTCCTCCTCCTCCTCCTCCTCCTCCTCCTCCTCCTCCTCCTCCTCCTCCTCCTCCTCCTCCTTGGCCTCCTCCCCTCCCTCCCCCTTCTCCTCCTCTTCCTCCTTGTCCTCCTCCTTCTCCTCCTCCTCCTCCTCTTCCTCCTCCTCCTGCTTCACCAACAACACGGATCCCGCAGTGCAAGACCTCCTCCTCCTCCTCCTCCTCCTCCTCCTCCTCCTCCTCCTCCTCCCCCGCACCCCTTCTATTGCCGAGGCGCCCGCCGGGCAAGGCCTGGCGAGGCGCTGCGTCGCGGCGGCCAGGTGGGCGCTCCCTGCTGTGACCGGGCGGCGCCTGGGGTGGCAGGGAGTGGCAGGCTGGGCGGAGTGTGGTGGTGGGGGGGGAGGGGGAGGAGGAGGGAGGAGGAGGAGGAGGAGGAGGAGGAGGAGGAGGAGGAGGAGGAGGAGGAGGAGGAGGAGGAGGGGAGGAGGGGGGAGGAGGAGGAGGAGGAGGAGGAGGAGGAGGAGGAGGAGGAGGAGGAGGAGGAGGACGACGAGGACGAGACGACGAGGACGACGAGGACGAGGACGAGGACGAAGAGGGGGAGGACGATGAGGAGGAAGAGGAGGAGGAGGAGGAGGAGGAGGAGGAGGAGGAGGAGGAGGCGGCGGCGGTGGTGGTCGTGGTGAACGGTGGCATGACAGTCCAGGGCTCAAGATCAGCGGTGTTTTTGCGATTTCGTGGTCTGCTTTCGTTCTGACTTTGTTTCGCAACAGCGGCGGGACGAACGAAGCAGCACGGGAACGGAAAACACTATGTAGGTCGAGCCGTGTCAAAGACAATGTGAGTTCACATCGCAGCTCTTACGGGAGAACCAGATGACGGCTAGCATGACTTGTGCTCACGAGAACCAGACCAGGGGGCAATACGCTTGTGTCACCGCTCTCTGCCAGCAGCTCTGTTGGCCTGGATACCAGCTAGCTGTTCGGTGGTGAGGATCACCAGAGAAGGGAGGTTGGGGAGGAGGAAGGGGGGGGAAATTTCGGCCCAAGCACAAGAAAGGAACTAGACATAGTTGTTTTGAGCTCCGGTCGGACTTGACGGCCCAGCGCCAGGGCCCCCCTGGCGCGCTCCGCGCGCCCCGGGGGGGGGGGGTCCAGCGCCGATCCAGGAAATCCACGCAGAGCGCCGACAAAATTATGCTGACGCAGTTGTTTGTTCCTCTAGTTTTGGGGGGGCAGGGGGGGAGGGGAATTTTGGGTGGAGTGGACGAGGGGCAGAACGAGGAGGAGGAGGAGCAGGAGGAGCAGGAGGATGAGGAGGACCAGAGTAAAGCGACTATGTATCAAAGATGCTGCAATGCACCCTCTCGTCGGAAATGCCCTCCTCACAGGTCCCTTACCGGCCTGCCTTTTCACTACAAGGATCGCTTCCTAGAAATATCAGCGCCCGATAGGCCTGCCCTTCTGGCGAGAACCCTGCTTTGAAATCGAACTGCGCTGCATCTGTCTTGCGACTAAGAAGGCATGCGAAAAGGTATGATCATACAGTTCAGCGAGGTGTGCACTGAGATCCCCATTCTGCATCATGGACAAGTTTACGCATGTGGCCAGGAAGTTCGAGGAAGCTCAAGCGATAACAGAGTTTGACACGGAACAGGCCTCCATCCCTGCAGCTGCTACATCTGATTAAGTTTCTGGTTTTGTATTTCGACAAGGTCTTGAGCCGCCGCTCATCCTTGGAACGTTTGCTAACTTTCGAGACGAATGCGCGCGGTGGTCAGGCGAGAGCCCAACTTGGAAACGGAGTCGCCCTCCACCTGTGTGACTGCTGCAAGCGTCGAAAACGAATGTGCGCGGCGCCCAGGCGAGAGTCCCATTTTTGTACAAGCGCTCAAGACGCGAGCCCATTTTGACAAGGTCTGCCGTGGCAAGGCGAGGGCCCACTATTGAACACGACCTCTCGTGCCTGGTACAATCTTCAAACGTGAGGACTGTGCGTGCTGAGGAGGTCTCGGGCGGAACGCCCGGCCCGGGCTCCCGACACGGCCTCCGACAGGGTGCAGTTGTGTATAAGAAGACGCTTGGAGGAGGAGGAGGAGGAGGAGGAGGAGGAGGAGGAGGAGGAGGAGGAGGGGGAAGGCGGAGGATGAGGACTAGTGGATGATGAGGGGGCGGAGATGGAGGAGGGGAGAAGGGAGGGTGGAGCCGGGATTAGGATGAGGGGGAGGAGAAGTGGAAGAGAAGGCGGAGCAGAAGGAGGAGGACGACGACGAAACGAAAGGGGAATGTATAAGTGAAGTGGCAACAGACGGGAGGAAAGGGATGTCCTGTCCGCCCAGATGGCCGCATAAGTCTGCCGCCCTGACAGTTTGCCCCCAGTGCCTGGAAGGGACATCGCTCTGGGTAGCCACCCGAAGGCCAGCGGGTCCGCACACTCGCGGCTGACAGTCGGCAATTCAGGAGGGAGGAGGAGGAGGAGGAGGAGGAGGAAGAAGAGAAGGGCGAGTTGCAGGAGAGGGATGAGTGGGAGGGGGAGCAGAAGGAAAGGGGGGAGGAGCCGCAACTGAGGAGAGGGACGAGGAGGTCACTGGCACCCCCGAGCGCACCACCCGCACACACGGCGCAAGGAGGGCGTGGTTGTAGTTGTGGAGGGGGAGGTCGAGGAGGAGGTCGAGGAGGAGGAGGAGGAGGTCAAGACGTGGTGCCTCCATCCCATCCAGTCAGGGCGTCTTGGCCTCCTCCATCCAGGAAGTGGTGGTGGAGGAGCTGGGAGAGGAAGCCGAGGAGGAGAGCAGGTAGCGGTGAGGAGGGGGCGGGGGAGGAAGCGGAGGGGAATGCGGAGGGGCTTGGGGGGGGCAGGGATCGTTGGGAGCGAGAGGGAGCGAGGGACACATCGAGGATAGGGGAAGGGAGGGAGGGGGAAAGGGAGGGAGAGAGTGTGGGCCAGATGAAATGCGAGGGAGGAAGGAGGAGCAGAGTTGAGGAGTGCGGAGGAGCTCGAGGAGGAGAAGGAGGATATGGATGGGGGGAATAGGACCTTGGAGTAATCGTAAGTAACGACGCGTCGCTAATGCTATCAATGGCGTCGAACGCAAGCGATGGCAGCCTCGAAAGGCGTGCGGGATGGAGGCGGAGGAGGAGGAGGAGGAGGAGGACATGGACGAGTTCGTGCATGGGGTGCTTCTAAGCGATAGCAATGCCCAAGCGCTGCAAGGGAAGGCGATGGCCCGATGCAGGAAGCTCATCATGTCCTCGGGAGTTAGGCTGTTGCTGCCGAATTGCGCCGATTATGTTGCGGAATGCTCCACACGGGAAACATGTGTTTATTGGAGAGGCCTGACGGCCGGTGCCGCCGACCCTGATCGAAGGGGCTAGGAGGGGGAGGAGGAAGCGGAGGAGGAGGAGGAGGAGGAGGAGGAGGAAGAGGAGGCGGAGGAGGAGGAGGAGGAGGGAGGAGGGAGGACAGGGACGAGCACGAGGACGAGAGGAGGAGGAGGCGGAGGAGGGGGGGGAGGAGGGGAGGAGGAGAGGAGGAGGAGGAGGAGGAGGGGAGGAGGAGGAGGAGGAGGAGGAGGAGGAGGAGGAGGCAAGGAGGAGGAGGGAGGAGAGGAGGTGAAGGAGGTGAGAAGGAGCAGGAGTAGGAGAAGAGGACAAGCAGGATGATGATGATGATGATGATGATGATGATGATGATGATGATGATGGTGCTGATGCTGATGCTGATGCTGATGCTGATGCTGATGCTGCTGCTGATGATGATGATGTTGATGATGATGATGATGATGATGATGATGATGATGATGATGATGATGATGATGATGATGATGAGTGATGAGGAAGGTAGGAGGAAGAGAAGGAGGAGGGGGAAGAGGAGCAGGAGGAGGAGGAGGAGGAGGAGGAGGAGGAGGAGAACGGGGAGGAGGATGAGGACGAGAACCTCCTCGCGACGCCCTCTGGGCTTTCTCGAAGGCTGCCGGGGGAGTCGGATCTGGGGGGGGGGCCCCCGGGTCCCCCCGGGACCCCCCCGGGTCCGCCCCCCCCCCCCGCACTGGGGAAGGGAAAAGGGAAGGTGCTTCCCTTCGAAGTATTGACGACGTTCAATCAATTGCTTGGCACGGCATGTGCAAGGAAGAGGACTCTGCTGACGGAGAGCGGGGGAATGGTGAGAGGAAGCTGGATGCGGCTAGAGAAAGTCGAGCAGGAAAAAGAACACGACGCGAACGGACAAGTCCCTCACACACGCCGACAAGGCCGGTGGATTTTAGGTGTGGTTAGGTGTGTGTATTGGCATTGTAGGTCGAAAGCGTTATCTCGTAGAACTCATCAGCCCACTTCATTGAATTTGAGACACCAGCTCCTCTCGCAAAGTCGATGCTAAGTTATGCCATGTCACCATGATGTTCCATGTGAGTGGCAGGCTATGGTATCGCTAAGCTTATGCTTCGCTATTGAGCTATGTTGCGATGGCACGAGGTGCGAGTGCTGTTTTGTGGAATGGTATGCGATGCCACGATGTGCTAGTGTTCTGCGGTGCTACGGTATACCAGGTGTCGTTGTGTTGTGGCCATGCTTGATGACTTGGCTATGGTGATGCCGATGCAGTGCTATCAAGTCCAGTGTTGTGCAACGTTGCTAGACTCTGACGTGCCAAGCTACGTTATACTGCACACTGCTACGCTGTGCACCTGCCCCTCCCGACTCGGCCGACCCGCCGGCGGTCGTCCCGAGAAGGGTACGGCACCTGCAAGATGGCCGCACCATCGTCTCGGAAAGGGTGCTGCCGCATCAGCGCCGTCCCCATCCTGGGACCTCGATCTGGTGCTCTCGCACGAGCGCTGGCTGCATCCTTGAATCGGAACGGTGCTCTCACCTTAGCGCCCTCACATCCCTCCATCGAACTTGTGCTCTCTCCTGGTCGCTGGCCACTTCCTTGATCGGAAACGGCACTCTCGCCTGGGCGCAGGCACGTTCTTGAATGGGAGGTGCGCTTTCACGTTAGTGTTGGCAAAGTACCTGACTCGAAATGATGATTGCGCATTTGCGCCGGCTACTACTCCGAAGTGACAGAGTACACGAGTGAGTCTTGTGCGGAGCCGTCGTCGTCCTCAGCGTTGTCCTCCCCGTCCTCGGCGTCGTTGCTGCGCTACTGCCCCCTTCTCCCCCCGACTTTCCGCTTCTTCCTTGCCTACTCTTCCCTGGCAGGCTCGTCCTACCCATGTTCCTCCTGCTGTTCTTTCTCCCCCTCTGCTTCCTCCCTCTCCCTCTCCCCCATCCCCTTCCCACTTCGAGCCTGCTTGGGCGAAGAGCAGGGCTCTTGGGTGCCAGCCACGCTCCCGACTGGGACAGCAACTCTCGCCTGAGTGTTCGACAAACGGCTGGTCGGCATTCGGTGGCGCAACAGAGCCAGCCACGTCCGAGACGACGAGGTCCCGCTCAGATCGGCGCGGTGCCTCACTCCGCTGGACCCACCAGCAGCCCTCGAACGTGGCGAGAGTCTCGCAGTTCGCAGCCCCCCAGGGACGGCGAGTTCCCGCTCAGATCCCGCGCGTCAGCGCTGGGCCCACCCCTGCTTGGGCGTGGGGCTGTCGCCGCAGTGCGAGCTCTCTGGCCGAGTTCGGCCTGGCCGAGTTTTGCCTGAACGAGCTGAGCTGTTGCCCTTCAGCGTGGGCCACACCCCTGATTTTGGGGATGGCGTTCTCGCCTCTTCGCCAGCCGCACCCCTTGATTGGGAAGCGTGTGCTCGCCTCAGCGCCAGCCGCGATACCCGTTGAAGGCGACACGGGAGCATTGACATCGCCGGCACGTGTGAGTTGCATCATGTTGCTTCTTTCCGTCTTGGCGTGATAGTTTGCAGCCTTGGCTTGCCTGTCCGGTGGGACCTACGCTGCCGTCCCTTCGGCAGATCGCACTGGCCGCTCACCTTACGGTACACCGGTTTTCGGTGCCGAAGGTCGCCTGCGCTTTCTTCGAAACGAAGATTATCTGCGCCTGAGGCTCCCCAAACCCCACGCGTTCCTCCTCCGCGGCCGCCCTCTCCTTTTCCTGGTCGTCTAGTGTGCTCCTGCCCCAGCGCGACCCGCCAGCTTTCCGAACGCGCTGGCGTCCGCCTTCGCTGTTGACCACAACAATTGCTTGCAGCCCAGCGCGCGTGTCACACGCGTGTCGTCCAGCCGTTGGTCAGGTTGCTGGTGACGGAGTCAGGATGCGTGTGGCGGAGAGTCGACAGACCATTGGTCAGGCTGAGTGGCGGATCTGTTAGGTCACGGGGGCCTACCACTTGCGTTGCATGGTTCTTCACTGCGTTGCACCTCGTTGCGATGCATAGCGCATTCATGCATGTCATCGGGAGTAACGCGCATTTCGCAAACCATAAGAATTCGTTTGTCGTTGACGCATTATTCCTTCATCTTCGTGCACTCATGTGGTTGACTTGGCCTTTGGATGGCCTGGTTGCCACCACCTGCCCTCTGTCGCTGCAGCGCCCCTTGGGAATCGAGAGTCGTGCGATGCTTGCTGATCGATCGCTGTGGTCGCACGAGAGAATGACTGCAGTATTCTGCTTGGTGCGTGAGCACAGCTCAAGCTCCTCGATTCTCAGCGCCGCCCAGCTCCGACCTTCCCGCCGAAGCAGGCCCTGCTGGGTCGATGGCGGCGACGCCCGCCGTGAGCGGCACCGCCTCCAACAGTGGGCCGCTGCTCGAGAGGACGGAGGCGCCGGCCGCCCGCGACCGCCGCTGCTCGCCCTCCGGGCTGCATGCGGCCCTGGACTCCTACGGCTGGGTGGTGCACCTGGGGCCCCTCTCCGTCGGCCGGGACGGCGTCGACGTCAGGCCTCAGCTGAAGTTTGGCGGGCAGGTCGGCAACTTCGCCGCCGAGGTGGGCGTCGGCGACGTGCGCGACGGCCTGCGCTTCGAGTCCGGCGTGAGGGCTTTCGCAGAGGCGGAGGGCTCCGGGCACTCGCTGGAGGAGCTCCACGCGGACGTTAGGCGGCGTCTGAGTGAGAACGCTGCCGCCACGGGCTCAAGCATCCGTGCGGTGATGAACTCAAGCAGGGTGGAGGAAGCGCTGGAGGCAGCCAGCAGGATCCTGAGCAGCTCGGCGAGGGGCCTCGGGTCTCGCACGGACGAGATTGCCAGGACGCTGGGCGTGGACGTGGCGGACCTCGACCGCGCGCTCCAGGGCGACACCGCCGGCGTCGCGCCCCCCGCTGGCTACAGGGAGGCGGCCAGCGGCAGCGAGGCCGTGCAAGGCACGGAGAGGCCTCCCATGACGCTGAAGCTGCGGGCATCCACCGGCCTCGGCGTTAGTTGCCAGGTCTCCTTGGGCTGGTGTGACACCAGCGGCTACCACATGGTGGGACTTGGGATGAAGGCGGTCGCGCTCATCGCCACGGGCGGAAACCTGTTCGTGGGGCGCCACAGGGCTGGCGTTGGCCTGAAGATTGTGCTGGGCATCTCGAACTTCACGCTGGAGTACACGTTCCCCCGCGCCAGGGTGCCAGAGCGGGCGTCGAGGGGCGACCCTGCGGCCGAGCGGCGGAGTCCCCTGCCTGCCGGCGCGGTCGCGGCGGGCGCGGTCGGGAACGGCGCAGAGGAGGGGGGTCTGGGCCCTCGGCCCGGGCAGGCGTCGAAGGGCGATGCGTCGGCTGAGCCACAGCGCCCCCAGCCTGGCGGCGAAGGCGCCGCCAGCGCAGGCGCTGGCGCGGAGGAGGGCGAGGGCCCTCGGTCCGGGCAGGCGCCGAAATGCGACCCTGCGGCTGAGCCGCAGGGCCTCCAGCCAGGCGGCGCAGACGACGTCGCGGGCACAGAGGAGGGCGATGGCCCCTGGGTGCCGATCTGAGGGCACGCGGGCACGCGGGAGGTCTAGACAGTAAATCACTGAAGCTTCCGCTCGTCTTGGATTGAGGGCCTATCGGCGAGTGGCTCCCAGTAGCGCCAATTTGCGCCCAGTAGCGCCGAAAAGCGTTCACACGGCGCACAATAGTGATCAACAGAGTCCAGCAGCGCCGTGTGAGGAAGATGCATTCACGCTTGGCGCGCGAGTGGGCGCGCTGTTGGGCGCCGTGGGGACGACCAAGCGCTTCCGTGAGTTACTGTCTAAGGAGGTGGAGGGGGCTGTCAGCCGCCCTCTGCTGCAACGACGCGTCTCACCATTGCCCCCCCGACTCCAACACAATCAAAGGGCTTTCGGACCAGATTCTGACTGCAGCGACAGGATGACGCGTACAGGTAAGACACGCGCAAGCATTCGGAAAACAATCGCGCGCGCACACGATTCCTGCTGCTCGCCCACCTCTGCACATCTGTTACTCCGGACTTTCAAATAAACGGGGCTGGGGTCACGCCCCTCCCAGACGGGCAAATCTAGACCCCCCAGGCCAGCAACTCAAGGGGTGCCTTTTGCCCAGCCTATTCGAAATCCCTTACTAATCGACCCCCCAGAAAAACCGGACCCCCCTCCAAATGCGACCTGATATTCCGGATCCCCCTCTTCGATGGGGCGCCTTGATAAACCGGACCCCCTAAGCTCCAATCCAAAGAAAACGCCCTAATAAACCGGACCCCCCCCCGTACAAAAAGGAGCCTTACAAAATTGGACCCGGGGGACGACTAATAAGGGATTTGAAGTACCCAGGGCCATCCAAGACAGCTCAGGTCAGACTCCCCAGAAATCAGACCCCCCTTCCGTGTCACCAGAAACTCGGAAGTACGGATTCTTGTGCACGCGCTGCTGGCCCCTCCTTTTGGAGGTGTCCTCCAGAAGTGCCCAGGGAAGAGCACGCGTCCCTGGGATGCGAGAGCGTGACAACTCCTCGGCCCTTCCCGAGGGTATTGTACGGTAGACCGCGGAGCTCCGAGCACCGCAAGGCGCTCATCTGGTTCGAGGCCTTCCTCCCCAGGAGTCCTGCTCTGGTCCTCCTCCTGGCGTTCGCCGCGCACCTCGTCTAAAGCCACCTCGGTCCCCCAGTCCTTTCCGGACCCGTGGAGGAAGGAGGAGAGAGGATGTGGAGGAGACCTGAGGACGTCAACAGGTGTCTCGAAGAGGTGCCCTCGGCCCTCCGATCTCTTCCCCTGGTGTGGGGTGGGACTCCGCTCCAGCCGGAGTGCCTGAGTGCCTGAAGGCGCAGGAGTCGGGAGGGGGGGGGGAACAGCACACAGAGTCACAGAATCGCCGATTCCCCGGGAACAGATGGGAAAATCTGGGAAGTGGAGGGGGAAGACGAGACTCCAGAAAATACGGAAACAGGATGGGCCATCCTGGGACTTGTGTCTACGTCGGAGCATCTGATTCAGAAACGTCCTCCCGAAAAGCTGGGCCAGCGTTTCTTGGTCAAATTGCCGGAAAGCTGGCCTCGGTCCTTCCGCGCGTTCTCCCCGGCAGCCGCTTCTTCCGCACGCTCTCCCCCTGCAGCGTCAACAGCAGAAATCGGCCCAGGCTTTGCTCAACAGGCATCCTGCAAGCTGGCCTAGCTTTTTAAAGTGATAAGTTACTTGATCATACTGTTCGATTGCACTTATTTGTTTCGAAGAAGATGGAGACCGCATAAACATAACTTTTGGCGCTCCGCGCGGGATTTCTTGGATCCGCGCCTGGGCCCCCTGGCGGCGGAATCCTTCCAACACGGAAGTTCTTGCATGTTGGTCATGGGAGTCCGTGAACTTCTTGTTGCACATTTGAAAACGAATGTGCACGGCGCCAAGGCGAGAGCCACATATTGAAAAGGATTGCCCTCAATCCGTGAACTTCTTGCAATGTTTTAAACGGATGTGCGCGGCGCTGAGGCGAGAGCCACATTTTGAAGAAGGAACCGCCCTCAACCCGTGAACCTCTTGCAACTGTCTAAACGCGGCGCTGAGGCGAGAGCCACATTTTGAAAACGGCCCGCCCTCCATGTGTCGAACTGCTGTCATTTTTAAGCTTCAGAGTCTTACATGGTGAGGAAGTCTCAGGCGAAATGCCTGGCCCGCCCTACAAACTAGCCTCGGGGTTCGACAGGGAGAAATTATTTCTAAGGGAAAGGAGCGGAGGAGGAGGAGGCGGAGAAGGAGGAGGACGAGGAGGAGGAGGAGGAAGAGGAGGAGGAGGAGGAGGAGGAGGAGGAGGACGAGAAGGAGGAGGAGGAGGAGGAGGAGGAGGAGGAGGAGGAGGAGGAGGAGGGAGGAGGAGAGGAGGAGGAGGAGGAGGAGGAGGAGGGAGGCGGAGGAAGGAGGAGGAGAGGAGGAGGAGGAGGAGGAGGAGGAGGAGGAGGAGGAAGGAGGAGGAGGAGGAGGAGAGGAGGAGGGAGGAGGAGGAGGAGAGGAGGAGGAGGGAGGAGGAGGAGGAGGAGGATGGAGAGCGGAGGGAGGCGGAGGAGGAGGAGGAGGAGAGGGAGGGAGGGGTGAGCGAGGGCGGAGAGTAGGAGGGGAGAGGAGGGGGGATGGGGAGGGAGCAGGAGGGGAGGGGGATGAGGGAGGAGGAGGAGGAGGAGGAGGAGGAGCGGAGAGGAGGAGGAGGAGGAGGAGGGAGGAGGAGGGCCAGACGAGAAGGAGGAGGAGGAGGAGGAGGAAAAGGAGGAGGAGGCGGAGGAGGAGGAGGAGGAGAGAACGAAAAGGAGGAGGAGAAGAGGAGGAGGAGAAGGAGGAGGAGGAGGAGGGGGAGGAGGACGATAACGAGAAGGAGGAGGAGGAGAAGGAGGAGGAGGAAGAGAAGGAGGAGAAGGAGGAGGAGGAGGAGGAGTGAGAGAAGCCGGAGGAGGTGGAGGAGGAGGGGAGGGGTGAGCGAGGGCGGCGCGCGGACGCGGCGGCAGAGGCGGAGCCGGGGCACTCCCGCGTGGCGGTGCCCGCCGCGCCCGCCGCGGAGCAGGTGGGCACAGGCCGTGGCGGGGCCAGGGGCCCTCCTGGGGCTCGTCAGACCTCCACAGACCTCCTCCCTCCTTCCCTGCCTCCCTCCCTTCCTCCCTTCCTCCCTTCCTCCCTTCCTCCCTCCTTCCCTCCCTCCCTCCCTCCCTCCCTCCCTTCCTCCCTCCCTCCCTTCCTGCCTTCCTCCCTCCCTCCCTCCCTCCCTTCCTCCCTCCTGTTCGTTCTCTTCCTCCTTACTTAGACCTCCCAGATGGGCTCCGAGCACAAGTCGACGGAGGGTCGCACCGCATCGCCGATGCATCGCCGATGCGGCTCGATGTAGAGCCAGATTTTCTCCGCGCCGATGGCCCCGATGCACCGCCGACGTCGCCGATGCATCGGCGATGCATCGGCGATGCGGGGCAATTGTCCGGCCCCCTACGCTGACCCCGTCTAGGAGGCCTCTAGATGCGCAGCGCGCAACACGTAGCGTGTTGGCACGGATCTCAGCACGCCTGGCCGAACGCGTAGGCTTGGCGTGATACGTTCGCCAAAACGTGGACCAGCACGTGGCCCAAGACGCTGCGTGTTAGGACGGACGTTTTGAACACGGCTCGTGCTGCGTTTTGGCACGGGCGCGTCGGGGCAGCTGGGCTCCGAAGAGGTGTCTGTCAACATCCTCTGGCGCGCCACGGGCGCATCGGGGCAGCTGGCCTCCGAAATGGCTCTCTGTCAACATCCTTTGGCGCGTATAACGGCCCCCCCTCTTGGGCGTCCCCCCCCCCCCTCCCCTCTTGGGCGCCCCCCCCCCCTCCCTCTTGGGGCGCCCCCCCCCCTCTTTGTTAACATCCTTGGGCGCCCCCCCATCCTCGGGCGCCTCCGAAGCGGCTGTCTGTCAATCCTCTGGCGCGCAACGGCCCCCCCCTCTTGGCGCCCCCCCCCCTCCCCTGGAATGCGCCCTCTTGCGCCCCCCCCCTCTTGGGCGCCCCCCCCTCTTCCCCTGGGCGGGCGCCCCCCTCCCCTGGATGGATGCCCCCCCCCCTCTTGGGCGCCCCCCCCCCCTTCCCCTGGAGGCCCCCGAGGAGGGGCACCGCGGCGTCGGTGCCCTGCCGGGCTCCTCCGGAGGGTGGCGGGGCGAGGCCTGGCCCAGGCGAGAGAGAGAGAGAGGCTCTCAGAGCACGCGGCGCCCGCCCCGCCGACCCGCCGCAGCATGTGGGAGCCGCGGCTCCGCTCCGCCCCCTGCGGGGGGTGGGTGGGACCTGGTGCCCCAGACCTCCTCGCGTGGAGGACAAAATCGCGACGGGAGGCTTTTCCTCATTCTCGGCCTCCGGGGGCCCCTCCCCGGCCTCGGGGCCGTCAAAAAAGGACTGAGACGAGAAACCAGTCCCGGGGAAGAGGTCCAGAGTTCTGGGGGTCGACGTTGTGAACAAATCACGACGTCTGGGGTCTGGGTATTCCGAATCCCTCATTGATCGTCCCCCGGGTCCGGTTTTTTGAGGCGCCTTTTTTGTAACTGTAAGGCGCTTTCTCTGACTTGGAGCCTAGGGGGTCCGGTTTAGCAGGGCACCCCATCGAAGAGGGGGGTCCGGAATATTATGTCGCATTTGGAGGGGTGTCCGGTTTTTTGGGGGGGGTCGATTAATAAGGGATTGGGAGTATGGTTCCGTAGCAAGTAATTCGGGGGTGGGCAGAACCCCCACCCTGACACGTCGATCAGTGAACTGTCCGTGTTCGGCTCTCGAGAGGGCGCCGCGGCCCCCATTTCCCAGGCTGGCGCACGCCAGGTTTGGGCCCGAGGTCGTTTTCACTGAACCACGTTTTGCTAAAAGGGGTTCTGCCCATCCCCGAATCATGTGAGCCTGGTATACTCTCTTAATTCCGACTGTAGCGTCGAATCGCGTCGATGAGCGTTTGGAGTCGATGAAGTAGCAGCAATTTGGCGTCGGTTAGCGTCGATTCACGTCGATTTAGCGTCGATTTAGCGTCGATCAGCGTCGATTCGCAAGAGCCGACAAGATGGTACGGGAGGTTCCCCTGAGTTGCCACCGACAGATTGTTTGTATCAAAATCTGGCGCATGGCGGTACCCAGGCCAGTCGCCCCCGGTCACGATGATGATCGTAAGCAGGGGGTCGGGGGGGGGGGGGGGCGGCGGCCAAGACCTGCCCACATGCCTCTGGATATAGGAGAGGGGTGTGGCATGAAGAAGTGCAGTGCCAGTGCTGCAGCTGGCGACGTCACCATCGTAGATCACATCTCTTTCCGCGATTGGCACCACCCCCCTTTATGCCACAACCTCTTCCTACCTCCAAAAGGCTGGTACTTGCGCGCGTACCATGGCGATCGCAGCGCACCCCTGCCTCGACTTGCGCCACCCCGCCCAAGCGTTACTGTTACCTGGAGCCGTGGCGGCGCCGTGAGCGCGCCCTGTCTTCAGTCG